TGTCCGTTGTCTAGCTGCGTCTCAGCTTTTGATCCAAGAGCGGTCCAAGGTGAAGCATTGAACACACAAGGGGGGGATGATGGGTATGGGAATTTAAGAGAATTCACGTCTTTTCAAAATAATTCATTCACGGGTGGATAGGGTTATAGCCGCGCATGGCCTGACCTTAATAGCTTAGGGTAATATGCCTCTCTTTTTATGTTTTTTGTAATATTGTAACCTCACATATATTTTTTATTATTAAATTTTATATAAAATAAGTAATACTTTAATGCGATTTTAAATTTTTTTAAAAAAATAAAAACTTCATTTTTTTTTATTATTTTAAGATATTAAAATATTACGCATTTTATGTAAAATTTAATATAAAAATAAAAAAATATTATAATAGACTTTAAAATATTACGCATTTGATGTGAAATTTAATATAAAAACAATAGGGGATGTGACCCTCTTCATCCTTTCAGAGACGTTATCAAGGAAACTAGAATACTTTTTCATAGGAAATGGCACGTGCGGATGCATCACAGAAATAGGCAACATATTAGAACTGCGGATCACTTAACTATGTTATCTAGATAGCAATTTTTATACCTTTCATCAAAGCCCATCTAACATCCGTGAGGTGGTAGTTGACGAGGGGTAGCTTGACTTGTACTTGTGTTTGTACTTGCTGTGTTGATGTATTGATTTCAGTTTTCATGGGAAAAACAAAAGTCTTTTTTAAAGTGCTGGGGCTATTAATCTCTTCCTGAGACCAGACGAAGTGACACATCCCAGTATATCATTAATGAGTGGTGTCTAAAGCGCCTGCGTTTTGATTTTATACACTCCACTCCCATCTGCCCTTCTTCAATGGAACTGCACAAACCTATTGTTCTTTCTCGTATAAGTCATTGCTCAATGGCATATTCAAATTGGATTTCGTTCCATTTTTTAATGAGTTTGAATTACATTGAATAAGAAGTTAGTTAATTATAATTAGTCCGAATGTTTTTCAAATTGAAAAATAGGTCGTATGTTAAAAAAATGAATAAGTTGATATTGACTCCAAAAAAAAAAAAGATATTAGCAACTATTGGACACACCAATTAAAATTAGATTATAGCTAGAAAGTTAGAGGGTTCAAGTTTCTAAAAAGCAAAAGAAAATGGATGAAATTATGCACAAACAATATAATGGATTAAGCAGCATGGAATAATTAACTTTTGGAAAGATTTAGTATGCCCCCGCCAGCTCACCATTACAAAATCAAATTGAAACCATGGCACGTGGTTGGTTTTAATGGCGGGGGCAACTTGTTTTCCTGTCGTAGAAATATTGTAACTCTGGTTGAGTTATAAGTCTGCACCCCACTTGCTAATACGACACCAGAAATCTCTTTCCACATGCACAAAATAGAGGGAATCACACGTCCTTCTATACCATTAAATTTCTGTCGGCATTACATTATAGAAAGTCCGAGGGCTCAAGTTTCTTTTAAAAAAAAATTGGGTGAAATTATACCCAGCAGATTTAAGTTAACTAATAATCAACTACAGTATTAGTTTTTGGAAGCTAAAGTATATTCCTTTCGATTTAGGGCTTTACAAGACGTTTGGTGAAGACGAGCAAGGAAGTTGATGAGATATTAGAGACCATTGTTAGAGAGCATGAAGAGGCAGCACCAGAAGAACAGAATAGACAACACAAGGACTTCGTGGACATACTACTCTCTTGCATGGATACCAATTACGATGATCACCACAACTTTGTCATAGATCGAACCAACATCAAAGCCATGCTTCTGGATATGATTGCTGCTGCATTAGACACTTCTTCTGTTGTCATTCTGTGGGCTTTTCCAGAACTCTTAAGGAATCCAAGAGTGATGAAAAAACTCCAACTCGAACTAGAAAACCAAGTAGGAAAAAGCAAAATGGTCGAGGAAGCCGATTTGCCAAGGTTGAGTTACTTAGATATGGTGGTTAAAGAGACTATGAGACTATACCCAGTTGGACCCTTACTAGTCCCTCGTGTGTGCGGGGAAGATATCATAATCAATGGCTATTACATAAGGAAGAATTCTCGAATCATAGTGAATTCATGGAGCATAGGAAGAGATCCTAAGGTATGGTCTGATAATGTGGAAGAATTTTTTCCAGAGAGGTTCTTGGATGGCAATATGGATTATCGAGGATATGAGTTCCAATTCTTACCATTCGGTTCTGGTCGAAGAGGCTGCCCTGGTCTGCAATTGGGTTTAATTACTGTTAAGCTTATCTTAGCACAGTTAGTGCACTGCTTCAACTGGGAACTTCCGGAGGACAAGTCTCCAGATGAGTTGGATATGACTGAGACATTTGGTTTGACAATGCCAAGAGCTAATCACTTGCTAGCTCTCCCATCTTATCGCCTACCAATTAATTGATGAATCTTAGTTTGAGGCGTTTTGCAGCTCAATAATAGCTCCACCCCTTATATCCTAATCGATGCAAAGCATGTTATTGTAACAGTAGAAGTTTAATTAGTTAGTCATGTGTCAGTGTAATCTTTAATGGAATGGTTAAAAATTAATTATGTGATAAATTTGTTTTATAATGTCAGTTGTGCTTCCATATTTTCAAATAAGCTTTATATATTGGTTATCTTTTTTTCCCCTTTGAAAGGTAGCGCTTCTTCTATTTTGTGACATATGAATAAAAATATTAGAACTCATTTGGGAAAAAAAAAGTATAAAATATTTGAATAGGCACAATATCGGCGAGCTATTATTTGGGCTATTGCCTCGTTTGTGCACCCAATTGATTAAGGTGAAAAACAAGGAGGAAACGAATAGTAGAGAAGGGTTATCCAGTTTCAGTATTCATTCACCGCCACATGTTATTTGGGCCACAGAGAAACCATTGACCGAAAACACAAAACTCAGCGTCGGCTCTGCTGATGTCACCTTCGCACACCGCGTTTTTCTTTCTGGGTACTGAAAATCACACCACGTTTCAAACATTTTAATTTGTTACAGGAAGCTTTCTCACGACCCTTTTAATAATTTCATTTGAATATCTTACATATTCTTTTAATTTTTACTTTTAATATTGGGTGAAGGGACAAATTTACTTATTATAATACTCCTCCGGTTCTTAATATGGAACCTAATTATTGAAATGATTTTGATCTTAAATATAAGACCTATTTCTTATATTTATCAATTTTTTCTAAATTATCCTTATAGATCTCTCTTAACCATAATCTAAGTAGAAAAGAAAGAGAGGATATTAAAAAAGATGATTGTGGTGTTTTAGGAAAAACATGTCATATTTTTTATAATTAACAAACTTACCTAACTTCTTTAATCCAATCAAATTAATTAAATAAGTCTTATATTGAAGACTAGAAGAGTATTAAAAGAAGTATCAGGCATCATAATAAGATGCAAGGGACAAAAATGCCCATGAACAGTATAAAAGGATGCAAAAATTACCATCGCCGTTAATTACTTCACGGTTTTGGAAAATTAACGGAGATGACACTTTTGTCCAGTTTCGTATGTATTTTGCTCCTAATATTTTATTATGGTGTTTGATGCCTTTTTTTTTTTAATATTATGATGAGTAAATTTGTCCCTTCACCCTTTAATATTTTAAGATTCAAATCTCATTTTTTTTCAACATGTTATTCAAATAAGTTTTAATTAAATTGATTTTTTTTATAAAAGCCTATTTAAAAATAAATCATATTATGCTGATTGATTTTTATTTTTATTTAAATTTATAAAATAAGTCGACATAAAAGTTACCTTTGTAGGCATAAAAAAAAAGTTAATTTTGTAAATGTCTAAACAAGTCGTTGTGTAAGTTTTCAAAAATTATTATAAGAGATTAAACATGAAATAATTATTATTTGAGCTAATTTTAAAAAGGTAAATTATCTTCTCAGGTGATATAAATTATTAGTTTCTTAAAATAATTAATTTTAAAAAAATGGTTTAAATGACTAAACAAAATTTTTAACCTAATTTAAATAATAGTTATCTCATATTTAGTTAGTTACCTTCTCAAAGTCGCTTTAAAAAGAATTTAAAAAGAAAATTTAAACAAACATATCCTCAGTAATTACCTCCCCGCAAAACGTTATAAATACAACCCCACCTCATGTGTAGAGCTAGTAATACGAGCTGGGCCCGCGGGTCCAGCCCGCCAGCCTATGGCGGGCTTTTGCCAACTCGCCAAGGTGCGGGCTACTCCAGCCCGCACCGTTTTCAGCCCGCTTTTTTTTTTAAATTTTTATTTTTATATAATTTCTAATATATTATACAACATAATTGGAGGATTTTAACCCTCAAATCTCATATTTACATCTTCTCATCCATGTAATTGCATATGTAATACATACATAAAAGATGTACTTAATTAATTTGGATAAGAAAAATAGTCAAATTAATTATTTTAGAAAAAAATATGTGTTAGTTTTTCTAAAATATCTTCTCAAATTATAAAGTAATCCTCACATTATTTTATTATAACTCATTACTCAAGTTTAAAATGCTAAGTCCAATTTTAACATTACAAACTAAGCTCAAACCTATACAAATAATAATATTTCAAAAAAAAAAAAAAGTTAGGCGAGCCGGCGGGCTAGCCAAGGCGGGCTCGGGCTGGCAAAATGTCAGCCCGCCAAAGTACGGGCTGGCCCGTATCTGCATCGCCAGCCCGCATTTCCAACTCTACTCATGTGCTTCCTCATTCAGTTCCTTCCCCTTTCTGACACAAACACTCATCTAAAGTCTAAACATGCTGCCTCCATCTTCATTATTGCTACCTTCCCCACCATTTCTCTTTCTTGCCGTATTTCTCTTCTTCACTCTATGACTTTTACTCCTACTCTCTCACTTCAAACCAACCAGAGATGGCCAGGAACAACCGCCAGGTCCACCGGCATGGCCGGTGATCGGCAACCTCCACCTGTTGGGTACCCTCCCCCCCGGTTCCCTTCACTCTCTGGCTAGACGATATGGCCCCATCATGTCCCTCAGACTAGGACAGGTGCCTGCCGTTGTTGTCTCTTCCCCTGAAGCTGCTGAGCTTTTACTCAAGACGCACGACGTCGTTTTTGCCAGCCGCCCAAGGACTCAAGCATCGGAGTTCCTTTCTTATGGCTCCAAGGGAATCGCTTTCGCTGAATATGGCCCTTACTGGTGCGACATGAGGAAGCTCCGTACTTTGCAGCTTTTTAGTGTGTCGAGAGTGGAGATGTTTCGTCCCATGAGAAGGGAGGAGTTGAGAGAGGCGGTGAAGTCGATAAAGGAATCGGCGGCGGCGCGTGATGTGGTAGATGTAAGTGAGAAGGTGGGGGACGTGATAGACGACATAATTTATAGAATCATACTGGGATGCAAGAGAGACGATAGGTTTGATTTGAAGAGAATAGTTCAAGAGACGCTCAGCTTGGCAGGAGGTTTCAATATCGTAGACTTCTTGCCTTTCTTGGCCCATTTGATATTCAGGTATCTTTTTTTTTATTCCAGTTTTTAAAAAGAACATTTGGTTACAGTTTTTGTTTAGAATTTAATTTGTTAAAAAGATTTAAATTTGAACAAGTGCAACTATAATTCATAAATGCAACTTTTTTTTTCCTGGCTGTGTGCAATAATTATCAACACGGAAGTCATTTTAGCACAGCAGGAAAAAAAGATTGCACTCACAGGTTATAACTGCACGTTCTTAAATTTAAGTCCTTTTAGCCAATTAAACTTTTAAACAAGGATTTTTTCCCCAAATTTTTCTTTTTAAAACTAATCATAATCTTTTGGGGCAAAAAAAAAACATTCTTAATATTAAAGAACCAAATTTCTAATTACTCTAATAAGCTACTCTTAATAGGTCTTCAGAATAATCAAATGCGAAAGCATATTGATGAAAATACATATAATAAAATCTGCAATTACTAAATAATACAAAAAATAAATTAATACTTAAAAAATAGAAAAAATCACCAAAAAAGACTGTGAAAATAGGAAATTTCAAATAATAACACATTACAACATCATCAGTATTGATGATAATTGATAAACAAATCATAACAATTTTTGTGAATTAATTCTTGGTTTGTAATTTTTTAATTTTAAGGTTTTTTTTTTGCGATTTTTACAATAAATTAGCCCTTCGCACTAAGTTTTGTTAGACTTCTCAAACCCATGTAAAAAAGGCTACATTTTATTTTTCTTTCTCCCTTGCTTGTATGTATTTAATTTGTTCTGTGGGTCCAGAATCAAAATCTCATACAAGCCAAAAATTTGCGTGTCACATTGTCAATCTACCTTTTATTATAATTATACAGTTGGTTACTTTGCTCTCCTTTTATTTTTACTGAAATTTTTTATTTAAATTATACAGTTGGTTGCTTTGTTTACCAATAAGTGATTCTCAGTAAAATATAATAAAACAGAGAGAACAAACGTGACAGATAAAAACTAAGCTAAAAAATATAATTAAAAAATTTAAATTAAAGAAGATAAAAGAATTTGAGTGAAACTAGATTGTTAACTCAGGCCACACATGAAGTTAGAAATAAGCTGCAAAATTTTAGTTTTTTGAAAAGTACTTGTTCGGTCCTTAATATAAGATCCGTTTAACTAATTTGATTAGATTAAGGAAGTTAAATAAGTTAGTTGATTATAAAAAATGTGACACATGTAACATCCTAATTTTCATATATCTAATATGTAAACAAATTTTTATAGAATAGGTAGAGGTTAAATATACATATATGTAATTAAAATAATTCTGATTTTGTGTGTGTGTGTATGTGAAAATGAATAAAATAGTGATGTTAAGAAGTTCCACATTGATTAAATGATAGGAAGTGGATAAAATAACAATGTTAAGAAGTCCCACATCGACTAAATGATGGGAAGAGGAAGCTCTAGGAGCCTATATATAGGTGGTAGTAGGGGAGAGTTAAAGATGAACCAAATAATTTTCGCACAAAACTGAGATAGTCTCAGTAAAGTGCTATTTACGGGTCTGTAAACCGTTGGATCGGGCTGCAATTTGGTTAGCTGATCCTAGACTTCAAACTTGTTAGTTTCAATGGTTAGATCGTCAATTCAATGTCTGAGTTACAAGTTCTTAGGTATGTTTTTCATTTATTTTTTTTACATTTGGTAGATAGTAGTTAGTGTTTTTAAATTTTTTCACCGTTGGATTAATCCGAAATTTAGAGAGTAGTCTTGTAACATGTAAGACATTAAATTCAATAGTTGGATTAATAATTAGTCTTCTACAGTAAGAATAAATTAACTTATATTGAGGTTATCTGTCTAAATTCTTTGAAGATAGAACATAAGTTATAAATTGAGGGTTCTTTATCTAGGTTGTGAATTTGGTACTTCAAATGATATAATTTAATAACTAAAGATAATATAAGTTAAGGGAGCCTAGGAATTGAATATAAATCATCATATATATGTTCTTACCCCAAACCTTAGAAAAAGCTTTTCGAGCTAGAATTTCGAGTAACAGCTGAATGTATTAGAGGGAGCGTTAAAGTTTAGAAATTTATGAGTAGTTTACTCTAATACTGTAGAAATAAATTTTTAATTTCAATTGTAGATATAAACCATATTGTGGCATTTTCGAGTATGGGCCTCGTTTGTGCTTGATTGTTAGTTAGGAGACCAGGTAACTAAATTTCTATCTATTACATGCATTGGTATGAGGTTGGTGAGTGATTTTAACCAAGTTTCGTATACATATATTATGTTTTGTATGAACTGTCTTGTGGGATATTTTTTTGAAAAGGATTGAAATCGTTTGTATTGTTAGAAATTAATGATTATGACTATGAGGTGTTATTTTGGAATTCGGTTGATTATGCATATAAATATATTATTTTGAACCCTGTGCATCTAGTTTGGGTGGAGGAAGGAGATGATTGGAGTTATTGAGATTTGTATACTTATCACGTGGTATCGGCCTCTATACGAAGCTCTATGGTTGGCCACTATTATTGTCTCACTAGTTCTTCGAGGGACTGCGACACCCTACTAGTTCTTCGAGGGGGGACCCATAGTCCACCGAGTGCTCTGTGGTCTTTGGCCGGTCCATATCACTTGAGTGGTGAGCTTGTTAGAGTAGCTAGTAAAATGAAAAGAACTTAGCCCATGGGTCCAGTCGGTGGAAATAAGGAGGATATAAGGATGAATTTGAGTTCATAGATTTCATATGACATGGTATCTTCATTATGTTTATATCTTTTGAATAAATGAAAAGTATGTTATCTTTTTTGAAATCATCATTTGCATGAGATTGCCAGATACATTTGACCTGTATGGTTATTGTGAGTTCAACTGTTAGATAAGTGTCTATTGACTATTATTAACTCTGTGTATCCCACCTGACACCTCGCTAGCCCATGCTAGTGTGTGTGATAGGTAGGGATTTAGTTATTGAGACATTGTCTCATCCCTATTGTTTAACATTTTTCAAGTGAAAGCTTTAAGGGAGGGACGTCAGGGAAGGCTCAGGAGGAGTAAAGCTACATTAGCAACTTGTAGCGTCTCCTCGATTTATGAGCTATGTTGTATCCTGTATATTGCCACCTTAGGATAAATTGCTTTTAATTGATTCATGCATTAATATTTCTTATGTCCTTTGAGTGTACTATTGTGGTATGTGTGCTGATAGGTGGCCAGAGGCCTAGGATCGCATATTCGCTTGTGATTTGTTTATGAATTTATTAAAAAGTATGAATTAAGATTTAATTCTTAATATTATGATTTATGAGCTATATTATATGTTGTTTTATAATCATATTAGATGAGATTGATCCTTTCTTATATAGTTTGTATTTGAGTGAGTTAAGAAAAGTTCTTTTATCTGTAATAAGATGTATGATTGGGTGCTGCTCTTATCTATCACGGATAATAATATTATATAATTAGTTAGGGTAGATGATTGTGATATAATTTGAGTTTGTATTTAGCATGGTTTGGTTATAAAAAGTTATTTCTTAAAGTTACTATGAAAAAGTTAAGTTTATCTGTTTATTTAGGAAGGTTATTTTATTTTTGGTATCAGAGCCAGGTTATTCTCACTACAAAAGTTAAACCCTTAATCTAACCGTTGAATTCAATTTCCTATCTATCATGATACTATCCTTCAAATTATAGCTCAATCTAACGGTGAATGAACTTTAAAATGCTAATTTACTATTCAGAACTCTATCTGCTAAATCCAAAAGATATAAATGAAAAACATACCTAAAAACTTGTAACTTAAACATTGAATTGACGATCCAACCATTGAAACCAACAAGTTTGAAGTCTAGGATCAGCTGACCAAATTTCAGCCCGATCCAACGGTTTACAGACCCGTAAACAGCACTTTACTGAGACTATTTCAGTTTTGTGCGAAAATTATTTGGTTCATCTTTAACTCTTTCCTACTACCACCTATATATAGGCTCCTAGAGCTTCCTCTTCCCATTATTTAGTCGATGTAGAACTTCTTAACATTGTTATTTTATCCACTTCCTATCATTTAATCAATGTGGAACTTCTTAACATCGATATTTTATTCATTTTCTCTCTCTCTCTCTCTCTCTCACACACACACACACACACATAAAATCAGAATTATTTTAATTACATATATGTATATTTAACCTCTACCTATTCTATAAAAATTTGTTTACATATTAGATATATGAAAATTAGGATGTTACAACATGTTTTTTCTAAAACACCATAATTATCTTTCTTAATACCACATCTCCCTCTTCTACTTGATTATGGTTGAGGGAGTATCCATAGGTATAATTTAGAGAAAATTGATAAATATGATAAATGAGTTTTATATTTAGGACCAAAACCAACTCAACAATTGGGTTCTATATTAAGGACCGGAAGAGTATAATTTTGTACAAAATTTTATAATATATATAACATAGTTTACATTAATCCTACAAAATTTGTTACTGGTACTCATATTAACGAAGTATTACTGATCGAGGCTTTTACAAAATGCTTAAAGACGAATGGCAAGGAAATTGACAAAATGTTAGAAATGATCATCAAAGAGCATAAAGAGGCACAAGCAGTACTGTAGAAAATGCAACACAAGGACATCGTAGACATATTACTTTGATCTCTTGCTTGAAGGATTCTCACGACGATGAACAAAATCCAGTCAAAGATCAAACCAATATCAAGGCCATACTTTTGGACTTGCTTTCTGGTGCAATAGACACTTCTGTCACTGTTAGTCTCTGGGTTTTCTCAGAACTCTTGAAGAATCCCAGAGTAATGAAAAAACTCCAACATGAGCTGGAAAACCTAGTAGGAAAAAGCAATTTGGTTGCCGAGGTTGACTTACTTGGACATGGTGGTCAAAGAGACTTTGAGACTACATCCTGTTGCGCCATTGCTGCTCCCTCGAGCCAGCACCGAGGATATAACTATCAATGGATATTATATAAGGAACAAGTCACGAGTGATTGTGAATGTGTGGGCAATAGGACGGGATCCTAAGATATGGTCAGATAATGTGGAAGCCTTTTATCTAGAGAGGTTCCTAAATAGCAATGTAGATCTCTGAGGAAAAGAATTCCAACTGATACCATTTGGTCTAGGTTGAAGAGGATGCCTTGGCATGCAATTAAGGTTAATTACTGTTAAGCTGGTTATAGCACAATTAATGCATTACTTTAATTGAGAACTTCCACAAGGCGTTTCTCCTGATGAAGTGGATATGACTGAGAAATTTGGACTATTGATTCCAAGAGCTAATCACTTAGTAGCTCTTCCATCGTATTGCCTAGCAGAGTGATTGTTGTGCTTAATCATGTTAGTGTAATTTTCTTTATAACCTGAACTGTTTAAGATTATGTAATTTGCGTTATGATTGGGTCTTTCCTTCCATATTTTTTAATAGTTGTTACATAAATTATTATTAATTTTTTCTTAACAATGAATGAAGAACACAACAACCACATTATATTGATGCTCATAGTGTCACACCTTACTATTATATTGACTTGGGTTCCTTTCAAAATCATTTTAGACCACATTGGATGGTCTTGGGCTCACTTTTCTCTATAAAAACGTTAATTTTCAGATTTTTACTGTTCATCTGATAAAAATCTAGTTTTTCTGGCCCAACTTCAAAAATTCATAACTTATTCTACAAAAATCCAATTGGGGTAATTCAAAATTCTACTTAAGGCTCTTTGAGTCCTCTTTCAAGAAAAAATAATCTCATCATCCAATTCCTTATGAGAAAGTGTCAGGTTTTTGAGAAAAGCAACACTGTCCATTTGCCAAAAACCCTGATTCCCAGATTCTGACCATTAACTTTGAAAAATCATTATAAATCTTATACTGGGCTATTTTTAACGTATTAGCTATCAAATTGAAGCTCAGGAAGTTATATTTCACCATACCAAATTTCAGGATTAAACACATTCGGGAGCATAATCAAAAAGTTGCGTGAACCAGTCAGGGTCAGTGTGCTTCAAGCACTGTTAGTTTAATATTTACATAACCAAAATGAGCTCACGAATTTTGTGGCTAAACCCCACATATTAGCCTTCAATCTACAGCTTTCCCTTGGAGGATTCAGGCCCTAAAATGTTACATTATTTTTGGGGGATGATATTTTTGAAAATCCCAGTAGCAAATTAACCAATTATAGCACCAAGCAAGCATCATTATTATGCATGATCATATTAGCTACTATTGGTGAACTAACATGCTTATCATTTGGCAAACTCAAACATGCAAAGGCCAAAGCAAGATACTATAAAGAGCAGCCATATAACAATCAAGAAAGCTCAACCACAATAATAGTAATTAACCATACAATAATCAACAATGCTAGTTAGTGGTAGTAGCTAGGTTTAACTTACTACCTTGCTCTAAAAGTCTTAGCTTTTCTTCCTTCTCCTCTTTCCCTTGACAAATATCAAACCCTAACCATGTGATCCAACAAAAAGGGCAGCCATAATCATTATTCAACCATGAAAGAGCAAGAACACAAAACAAAACAACTCTTGAACCATAAAGCTTCCTCCTTTGTTCACTACTTTTAGACTTGGTTCTCTTTAACCCTAAAAATCACACCTTGACCTAACCCTACATGGTTTTTCATGTAGATCTCAAATATATGCTCAGATCTAGCAAAATAAAATGGCCTTCTTCAGTTTCATTTTGACTGAACCACTAGGGATTTTCAACCAAAAATCACAACTTTGCTTTAAAGCTTCCAACACTTGTTCCTTTTAGTCTACCCTACACCATTCCTCATTTTAAGCATCATGAAAGCCTTAAAACAATGAAAAACTCATCCTAGGGTTCAGTTCCTCACTTGACCAAAATGGAAGCTCAAGAAAACAACCATGAAAAATGCTTTAAAACAACTTAAACTTACTTGCAAACACTAGGATCTAGCTTGTGTTGTTGTGTCTTAGCAAGTGTAATGATCAAAACTTCTTTCCCCTTTTTATTAATCAGTTCAGTCAACATCAAGAGAGGGAGGAGACAGATTTTTAACCATAAAAAGGAAAGAAAACAAAGTAAGAGCACCTCTAGAACCAAGATCTAACCTTGAAAGCTTGCTTGAATGACCAAAGGTGCTTCCTTTCTTCTTGTTTTCTCTCAAACTCTCTCTTTTTCCCTTTTTTTCTCCCTTGGACGAATTGAACATCTGAAAATGGGGAGAGAAGAGCTTGATTAATGCTTCAAAATATCCCAACCACCTTCTTTAATGATAGTCCAAGTGTCATTACCCTACTAAGTCTTGATTCCTCTTTCTTAATTAACATAATTCCAAATGAAATTAATTACTAAAGTCAAGATCCTCTCCATTTATGGAATGACACTTGGCTAATTCAAATCTTCTCCTTCAAGAGCTTGACACATGGCTTAATAGGATCCCTTGGATTTGCAAGACACCAATCTTGCTTTATCAGTATACTTTAGGCTTTGAGTTTAAATTCTTTTCTATAATTACAGTAGCTTAGCCTCTGTAATTATTTTCTGTTAGATCCTCAATTTATTTTCCTCATTATTATCTTTCCAAATTGCCCTCTTTGTCTCAAAATTAATTTCCTAATATTTAAATAAAAAGGAAAATTAATTTCTTTCTCTTTAGGGATTTTTCCACTTTTTATCATTATTTGGAAAAATCTTGGATACTTGAGGCTCTTCATTTAATTTCATAATTCCTTGGGATCTCATAGGAATTTTCTTGGAGCTTTATTCCCCTTAAAAAAATATTTATTTGGAATTTTCCAAATAAAATCCCTTAATTAGCCTAAATCACCCTTTAATTCTCTCATAATTTTTCTAAGGGTAATTTGGTCATAAAACCAACTTTATAATTTCATATAACTCTCAAAATATATTATCCTCATTTTTCCTTAATTTTCCAAGGTTTGGAAGTATTTTTCCTTATTTACATTTGACCAATTTTCCTTAATTAGTCAATTTCCTATAATTGGCTTGGAAAATTGCTGTAATTATTTTCTACCAAAATCCTTTGAATTTTCCTTATCATTTTTAATCCTCAATAATTTGAGAATATTTCTTATCTCTAATTACCATAATGTTGGATGTGACACATAGAGTCTGATCAATAGTTGGAATCAAACTCTAGACCCGTTGCCACCAAGAGCACATCTTGTGCTACTAGACCAAATAGTCTTAGGTTGAAATTTGTATTTTACAAAAAAATAAAATAAAATAACATCATACATAAAAGACTCATTTTCTTTCATTTCATTTTTATATGCAACGCATACAAGTGACGATATATAGATATGTTATGTTCATTTTCTCTCATGTTGCTTGTTCGTTTAAGAAAATTAAACTGCGCAAACTAAATAAAACTAAATAAAATTAACAGGATGATCGTGGGATGTGCTAAGGATGATAGGTTTAACTTAAAAGGGCTTGTTCAGGAGGCACTGAGCTTAGCAGGACAGTTTAATCTGGTTGATTATGTCCCGTGGCTAGGTATACTGTATACAGTATCTCGCTTGTTGCTTTTCTCTTCTATTTTGTCTTACGTTTCTCATAATTTTCTCTTCCCCTACTTTTCTCTACATTCAGACAGAGGAATAAAAAGGCTTGTTTAAGCTTAAAGATTTGCCTACATAAAAAATAACATCAAGAATAATGGCTCCCAATTTTCTTCTTAATGCTAGCAGGCGTGGAATATTTGTGAAGGACATCTTACTTCAACTTACATTGTTAACTTTCATTGATGACTTATTAAATTAAAGAATTTGCTTTAATTTTGTGCTAGTAGTCGATCATTTTAAGTGCACGATAATTGGATTTCCTTCCATTTTTCTTTGACAATAAATAGTTTCTTCGATGCCCCTCTAACGTTATACAGATAAAGCGGCGTGTTTATGACTAACAGCTGGCGAAAACATTCATATATAGATGTGTGTGTGGCTGTGTGTGAAACTCTGGATCGAATGACCTATTTGACTAATGTATGATGGGGTTTGACACGAAAAGTAAAGAGAAACGTTACGGCACTGGACGATGTGTTGGAAAAAATAGTCAGAGAGCATGAACAAGCTACAAGAGAACAAAATGGCCAGAATCACGTCGACTTCGTACACATAATGCTTTCCTTGATACGTCAACCTATGGATTTGTATGACGATCAAAACAGTGTTATTGATAGAGACCACCTCAAGGCTATCTTAGCAGATATGATTTTTGCCGCAACTGACGCTTCTGTCATTGTGGTTGACTGGGCCCTATCTGAACTCTTGAGGCATCCAAGAGTGATTAAAAGTCTCCAAAATGAGCTACAAAATGTGGCTGGAATGAACAAAATGGTGGATGAGGCTGATTTAGAAGAGTTAAGTTACTTACACTACAAAAAAATTGACTTTCAACGGCGACAAAAGTCGCCGTTCAAAGTATAAAAGTCGCCGAAAGGGATGTTCAACGGCGACTTTTTTGTCGCCGCTAAAAGTAATGCCTAAGAAGAATTGGCTTTACCAACGCCACGTCATCACCACGGCACAATGTCATCGTTGCCAGCTGCCACGTCATCACCGCCGACCGCCACATCATCACTAGCCACCTCCACGTCATTGCCACATCACTCCTCCCCACCACGTCATCGTTCAAATATTTTCACCTTAAATGTGTCTTCTTCAAGGTTTGAACTCGTGACCACCTTTCGTGTCCAATCTTCTTGCCGCTAAGCCAGGTTGAATTTGTTTATTGATATTATAAAATAAAATATATAATATTATATTACACTTTCAGTGGTGACAAAAAAAGTCACCACTGAAAGTCTTAATTTTAGCAGCAAACTTTCAGCGATGACATTTTCGTTGCCACTGAAAGTCTTAGTTTCAACGGCAACTTTTTGGTGTTGCCGCTGAAAGTGAACTTTCAGCGGCGACTTTTTTTGTTGCCGTCAAAAGTCATCGCCTAAAGTCTTTTTTTTTATAGTGTTAGATATGGTCATTAAGGAGACTCTTAGATTACATCCACATGCT